TCCAACATCCCAGGATTTAAGGGACTTGTTGGAATAGTAGTCTGTTTCAAAATTTGGCTTGGTTTAGACAGCGTGTATAGCTTATTTCGAGCTAATACTGCAGCATAGGTGTAACCACCATTGAGTGGATTTGAATTTGGGACCTCTGCTGCTTAGTGTTAGAGCCTCTACCACTTGAGCTAAAAGCCAGCTGGCTCTTAGATTAGGCTGTAGAGCTCCCTTGTTGTTATCTTTCACTGTAAGTAGTCTAAGTGCCACTACATGGGACAGTGAACCACACTAGGTTACATAGGGTACGTTTACACTTCACAGCTATTTCTGGATACCATGGGTATCCTGAAATAGTTATCCTGCCCATTTCAAAATAACATTTCAAAATAACAAGATGCCTTGTTGCACAAGGTTTAAGGGATGGCTCAAAATAGCACGTTATTTTGAAATTTGGTGCTGTGTGGATGAGCCAAAATTCAAAATAAGCTATTTTGAAATAGATCGAGATAAGCTATACACGTTGCGTAGCGCAAATTGCATATCTTATTTCAAATTCAGGGTACTGTGTAGACGCATCCATAGATGCACCCTTAGATGTTCTGTCAATTCGATATTTTATTAGATAATCCAATCTCATAAAATATTTTCATTTTTTTCTGGATTTTGATAAGGATTTATTGGTAAAATCATATGAGCAAGAATTTGGCCGTCTTTTTGCGTTAATGTTATATTTGTAGATTCATTGAAGAACCAGTGTCTCAGATAAGAAAAGTCACAGCAGGAAAGTACTAAAATATACATAGGTACAGTGTATATGATCTCACCTTAAAATTTTCATGAGCAGCCTGCAGCAGCAAAAGAGGAAAAAACAGGTAATTTTCCTGATATGTTTACTTGGGGGTGATAAAAAAGCTAACACCTGGGTGCAAGCATGTATAATACACAACCTTTTTTAATAATGAAAGGTATTGGTATGAGTAGTATAAGTCCTTTCTCTCATTTTCCAAGCGGATAACAATAGACGATTGCCAAACATTGAAGACATTTGTCATTCTATGCCTTTTCCTTGTTCTATACAATATATTTTTAGAGTGGCTGGCATGAGCTGATCCCCTTGTCTAGAAATGGCAAACGTCTTTTCTGGCATGCTCCCATTTTCTGATAGCCCCAAGAAGAATGCCTCATAAAATCTTGTTAACCTCAATTTCCTATATGACACCATTTGTTGATACTGTATCATTTAATTTTTTTGCATAAAATAAATCAATTCCAGTTGCTGAAAGTACTGAATAGTGAATGAAGATTGTTTCTGGGGTTCATTTGTGCAGAGCAGGGATGGAAAAGCACTGCTGATTAGCAGAAAGGGAAGGTTGTAAGATTATTTAACACAGACCACATTGATAGTTTATTTGGGACAAGAATTTCCAAACTAGGTGCCTTCAGTTAGGCTCCCACATGCATATTTATAACACCCAAATAATTGGTTGCTGGGTGCTCATTTCATCTGAAGATTAGGACATAGGCTCCTAATTGTATATTTAAGAATATAACTAACTTTAGGTACTCAATTGGGAAAAATCTTGATATTCGTGTCTGGCTTTATATGATGTTCAAATAATTGGGAAAGTCACATTGTTAAAAATGCCCTTTTTATACTGGAGAGGAATCACATGAAGTAGCTATTAAGGGAATTTAAACAAATGCTTCTCTTGCCTCTAGAAAGAGAAATCCTTCTAATATATGTCTCTGCAGAAAAGTGCTCTGCCGAATTGCTTGTACTAGAACCAATTTACCTTGCTTTCTCCTATCTTCAAGGTTAAGTTTGCTTATTCTTGAGATGAGTAATGACCTTCAGGGAAACAATGACTTGGGAAATGTTAGAAAGAAAATATCTATTCTGACTTGGCTTTACATTGAAAAATAACAGAAATTCCCAGTGTAAGAATGAAGGCTACTAAAGTTCTGAGAATGGGGCTCTTGAGTAAAATTAGTTTTCCTTAGACCTGCAGCATGCAATGCAGGCTTTTATCAAACAGACAGAAGCAGGGATAGAAAAGGAGCATGTGATTCTCGTTGCTGACATGGCTTATTGGAAGACGAGCGGCATTTTGCTCTTAATTTTTGTTCCACTAATTCTTTTCATTCCTGCCTCATATTTGTATATTTCCTGCAAACACAAATACCCTTTGTAAATGTATAATTTGGGATTTAATGTACCTGAAATGCCATGGATCCAGATATACTCAGAGCCTGACTGTCCATCTTTATATGCAGATGATTTCAGATGCCCTATTGCTGATATTAGTGAAAGGCTCATTTGTTTAAACGTTATGGAGAAATTAAGTTGGCAAAGCAGGTTGGGAGAAAGGATATAGCTGAAGGTAGGGAGGTGGGTTGAGTCTCCGTGGCTGACTTGGTCTGCTCATTTCAGAAGTGATTTCAAAATAATAAAAATCAGATACATGCTTCAGAAGTCTTAGCACAGCTGAATGGCCTTTTTAAACTTTGAAACATTGTATTATACAATTTTCTGATAGGAAGTTACTGAGAGGTTGGGTTTTGAAAACCAGCTTATCATAGGTGATTAAAAATATTCATTTTATGCAGCTGACCCCAAAATGTGCATTAACAACGGTTTGGATGGGGGATTTTCTGTGTGAGATTGGTGGAGTTCAAAAGAAGGGTGGAGGGTACAAAACAGGTGCATGAGGGGGAGATCTGATAGCTGATACAAGGCATTGCTGGGGGAACAAACCAATTTTCCTGTAATGCAGTGCTAAAGAAAACATACCTGAAAGAGATAGGATAATTTCTATATGACCAGCCTAAGTCAATAAGGGAGGCTGTCGTGGGGACCCCCAAAGCACAGGGTCTGGAGCAACTGCCCTGAATCATCCTATGGATAGGACAGCTCTGGTATTCGGACTTGCACTCTTCAACTTATTCACTAATAATCTGGAAAAGGAGGTTAACGGGGAAGTTTGCAGATGATACAAAGATACTCAAGAATGTTAAGTCCAAAGCAGATTGTGAAGAGCTACAAAGGGATCTCACAAACCTGTGTGTCTGGGCAATAAAATGGCAGATTAAATTCAACATGAAGAAGTGCAAAGCAATGCTCATTGGAAAAGATAATCCTAGCTATACATGTACAATGATGGGTTCTAAATTAGCTGTTACCATGCCATAAAGAGACCTTGGAGTCACCCTGAAAGCTTCTACTCCTTGTGCAGCAGCAATCACAAAGGCTATCATCATATTAGGGATTATTAAGAAATGAATAGAAAATAAGACAGAAAATCTCATTGTGCTACTATATAAATCATGGCATATCAACACCCAGAACACTCTGTCCAGTTTTGGGTGACATCTCAAAAAGCAGACAGAGAAACTGGAAAAAATCAGAATGGCAGGTACTTAGTACTAGAGGGTCTAAATAGGCTTTCAAGAACTAATTTTTTAAATAATTGTTATTAGTTAACTGGGAGAAAATATGAAACCACAGCTGGTAATGTGTGTAGGTAACAAAATTCGAGGAGAGTGGTAAATAAGGCTGAGGCGAGAGCAGGGTTGGACAAAAGGGCCTTCATGGGCTAGATCCGGCCATCCAAGTGGGTTTATCCAGCCTGCAGATGTCCTGCCGCTCCCCAGCTCCCAGGCCAATCAGAGCCTGGGGACAGGGGAGAGCAGGAAGTCTCCTCCCGCGCAAACAGTGCACCGTACTTAGTTAACTGCCAGGGTGGAATTTGGGCAAACCACTCAACAGGAGTTCCCAGGTGATGCTGTGGTAAATATGGCTAAAATCATCATTAGACAAATGAGCAGAGGAGTGAGTAGGCCAGGGAGGTGACATAGTACCAGTGCGACTTATATTGGATACTACAAGGTATTTTAGGGGCCACCTTTTTAAAAGACATTGAAAAATTGGAGATGGGCAGCAAAGAGCCCAGTGTTTTGAGGGCTGAAGAAAAACACCTTCTTGTGAGTTACTGAAAGGAACCTAATATGTTTAGTTTCTATAAAAGAAGGCCAAGAGTTGACCTCATTGAAATGTCTAAGTGCCTTGCTGGAGAGAAAATGTCAGGTACTAAAGGGCTGTTTAATGTTGCAGAAAAAGGCAGAACAAGACCAGTGGCTAGAAGGTGAAAAAAGACAAAGTGATATTAGAAATAAGGCACAAATATATTTCACAGTGAGGATGATTAACCATTGTTAAAGCAAGTGCTGGATTTTCCATTTCTTGATATCTTATAATGAAAATGAGATGACTCTCTGGTGTATGCTTGGATCAAAACTTAGCTACTATGGCTGTGTCTAAACTACATCCCTTTTTCGATAAAGGGATGTAGATAAGGCACGTCGATATCGCAAATGAAGCCGGGATTTAAATATCCCACGCATCATTTGCATAACATCGGCTGCTGCTTTTTTTCTAAATGGGGTATAGGATCTTTCGAAATGGGGCATTTTTGACAAAAATGCCCTGTCTAAACTGCCTTTTTTTTTTCTTTCTTTCGAAAAAGCCCCATTTAAAAAAAAAGCAGCAGCCGATGTTATGCAAATGATGCGTGGGATATTTAAATCCCGGCTTCATTTGCGATATCGACGTGCCTTATCTACATCCCTTTATCAAAAAAGGGATGTAGTTTAGACATGGCCTATGATGTATGGGAGGGCTGAGATATATAGGAGTCAGATTCAATGCTCTAACGGTCCCTTCTGGTCTTAATATTTACTAATGAATGACAAACTAAGTGTGCCATAGGGAGCAACCTCTAAGGTTTTACTATGCAGCCAGCTTGATCCCCAGACTCAGTTGTCATTTAGTGGGATGATCCAAGGGAAGCCACTCAAAAATCCAAAGAGGCTAACCAGGGTCAGGACACCAGCATTGCAAAAGAGGGGTTTGTGTGGCAGTGACATCACAAAGGCCTGTTGTAGGACCTCAGCCTATTGGGGGACAGTGGAGGGGAGGTGGTGACCTCATAAAGAGACCCTGACATCAGCTAGGCAGAACAGAGGTACAAGGCAGGGGCAACCGCAAAAACTCTCATGACTTTGCAGTGGAGGGACCTTGAGAAGGAAACTCGCTTTGGGGACACAAAGAATTAGGATTAATGTAAGTGAGCATGAGGAGGAACCTCATTAGAGTTTTCTCCTTCCCTACTTCTGATTTTGTAGTCCCTGTTTAGAAGATAAGAGTCTCTGAACAGGTTCCAAACCTTCCTGTCTGATCCTAGGCATAGAAATTACTAGATTAAGATGATTTGATTTCCTACCAATGACTTTGTTAAGTAGAATAACTGCAGAGAATGTCCCTTCAGGTTTCTCTTTTCCTCCCTCTTTTTCTTCTCTTGCTTATTTTCCCCCTTTTCCATTTCTCTCTTCCTTCACCCAGGAGGTATGTGTGTGTGTGTGCGTGTGTGCGTGTGCGCGTGCATGTGTGTGTGCACGCGCGTGCACGCTGTCACTGTGGAAGGCCCTCACAAAGAGGTGGGGCTGGAAGAGTGCTCGGAGACAGATCCCCTCCATTAGTGATCTGGGCCATCCTTTTGGACTTCTCTTGAAACCCCTCCACCTCTCTGCTCTGAGTCTTGATGCTGTGGCTCAGCAGGTGGCTATTGAATGAGGAAACTCAGGTCCTTTTAGTCTCTTTAAGACCAAACAAATAAGTCACAAGCAATAATGCTGCTTCTCCCCAATTATTTTCTCTGTGCAGTTCCTGATTCTTTCTAATGTTTCAGTTCTTCTACGATACTTGCTGAATAATGACTATGAACAATTGTTGGTCTGTAGCTCACTTGTGAGCACTTTATTCTGCTCAGTAAATGTGTCCCAAAGGGCTGACGAAAGGCAGGACATCAGCCTTTCAGGGAATGGGTAGGCATGACAGCAACAGTGACATCACAAAGGCCTGTTTCTGGATGTCAGCCCTTTGGGGAAAGGTGGTGGGGAGGTGGTGACCTCACAGAGAAACCCTGACACCAGCAAGTCAGGACAGAGGAGCAAGTCTGGGGCAACTTCAGAGACACTCCCCCTTATGAGGAGGCCATCCCAAAGAGAACGAATCACGGCTGTCCTTTCCTTTGCAGGCTTTGCACAAGGTCTTGTCTGATTTCAGGCAAGCCATGTAGGGGAACCTGCTGGTAGATTCTCCAGACACACAGAGGTCCTAATACATCTTGGAGGTGAGCACAATAAGGAGGGACAGAAGGTACTTTTACCTTAGTGCTTGGAAGAACTGGAAAAGAGAGACTGAAAGTCCATGTTCCCGTTTTTTCTCTTAGCTGGTACCCCAGTGGGCCATCCCTGATCAGAGCAGTCAGGGCATTGTTATGTTGGGCCTTTCCTCCTTCAGGGACAGGGGAAGGAGATGGAACTTCAAGTCAGGACCCAGGCTGGCACTGGCAGTTATAACCTGAAATCTCTTCCCCCGGCCAACCTCCCCCACTCCTGCCAGGAGATCCAGGAGATGGTGCTCACAGAACAGTCACTGACTTCTTCCTAGAGAACCAGGTAGGTCAGAAGGGAGTCAACTTTTCTCTCCTACCAGCACTGTGATTCGAGACGGTGGAATTTCTCACTGTTGCTCCCTTCCTCTGTCCAAGGACTTTTGAGCCAGTGAGGGGCAAGAAGTCTGTCTCCATCTTTATGAACTGTTTATGATTCAGGACTTCAGAAAGAATGGGACCAACCCAGACACTGAACATATTCCCAGTCTACAGATACAAAATTGTGGCAATCCTCTTCTCCAGTGCCCAGATCAATGAATAAGATATTCCACCCTGAACGCAATGTCTCAGCCCCCAGGATGAGGTTGGGATCATTTGCACAACATGTGCACTGGTCTATTGATCCTGAGCTGCCTCCTTCCTTCACAAAATGTCAACTTCTGCATCAGGTCCAGAGTGTCCCAGGAGAGAGCCAGTGCCATAAGGAACAGCAGAGTCTTGATCTGATTCATTATCTCCATGAATTTGACTTAAGTGACCTCTGTCCCTGGCTTCCTCATGCCAAGTGTAGACAGGCTGGCTGCAATAGGCTGCAGAACCTGTGAATTGGGAGTGTTCCTCTTGGGAAGTATAACAGATTCGGTCCATTGTGTGAGTGCCCATTGGTGGCTGAAGGGGGTCTCCTAATATTTACTCACCTGTCTGAGGGCAAGTCAATATCCAGTCCATGGCTAGGGTTCAGGCCTCCTCTTTTGCACCCTTCTCTGAGGTGTGGTTTGCAGGGGGTTGGGAGGGACCCAGGTCTGCCCACTCCTCTGGGACCCAGCCCAGGGACTCTATACATAGCAGTTACCTGCCAAATTTCAAAGTCCGTAATTGCGGTCACGTCCCTGGGCCACTTCCCCAGGATGCCATTTCATCCAGCCCTTCTCTAGGGCCTTGTTGCTGAATTCTCCTTGTCCAGGGTTGTCGTTGGCTAGCCACAGCATCTAGCTCCAATCAGTTATGAGGCCCAGCTCCCACTCGGAGCTGTCCAAGGTTCCAGTGCTCTCTAGTTAGCCCACTGACTGGAGGTCTGCCTGGGTTGATCTCCAGGAAGGAACTGAGGGTATGTCTACACTACCCTCCTAGTTCGAACTAGCGGGGTAATGTAGGCATACCGCACTTGCAAATGAAGCCCGGGATTTGAATTTCCCGGGCTTCATTTGCATAAGCGG